TTTAAAGAATCAATATTAAAGCCAACAATTAATATAAGAATGAAAAAAAACAGACCACTAATTCAAAAGGTCGCACCAAATGCTCGGAAAAAGAAACAAAATGTATAAATTATAGAAATTACTCAATTAAGAAGCCATAACAAAAGTGCGTGACATACTTATAAGTAGACTACACATCACACATGTCCTTCATGAGAGCATATTCAAAGGGGGCACACTAAAAAATGTGCTTAAGGTTAAAATATTAGTAAGATAATGAATTTTGTTTAAGAACATGGGGAATACTTAAAGAGAGATCATTTGTTTATGGATGTACTTAAAATTAAAAAATAAAAATAAAAATTAAAATCCTTGTTTTCGTTTTAATTTTCGGCCAATACAAATTTGACACGTCCACCAACACATGGCATAAGTATTGATCTTCTTGTAGACCTCCCAAACTCATCTCCGTCCATTTTTGAATTAAATCACATTTTTTAAACCCAAGCACATATTGTGTGTTCCCCCTTTAAACATGGCCTTATAACAAAAAAATCAACCCAATACCACCGAAATTGCATACTAAGCATTCATAGCCACACGTTAAAAAGACTATTCAGACAGATAAAAAAGAGTTCATGAGTATCACTATTTTCACAGATAAGCATCCGTAATATTATGGAATCAGCATTTGTATGTACTAACAAAGGCCGTATGGTCATGGTGTACAAGAATATCAGTTTAAACCATATTGAAAGAAAACAATGATAGTACACATTACGTCAAATGAAAATAAACAAATCAAGCACATTAATTTCTTTAGCGTAGACACAATTCATCATGTAAGGAGAGTTGACGCATACAAGGATGATGAGATGTTTCCATTAAAAACAACAACGAAAAGGAATGACAATAATTAAGATAATACAATGTCAAAATATGTTTGACACCAACTAAAAATCAATACATTTGAAACTTCAAATAAATATAACTTTTCAGAGTGACTATATTATTATTACCCATAGTATAAGATAACACTAAAGCATTTAAGAATTAAGATCCCATAATGAAATTATGATCAGACCACCAAAAAGTTTGAGTTCCTATCCCTTCTCTCCTTACATCTGAACGGCTAGATTCCATTACTTGTGTCCCCATATAAATTCTGACCCTCCACAATGCAACAACTCTGGCTGTTGGAACTTAAAAAAAAAAAAGCTGAAGCACTCATTTCAGTTAATGGGCTATATCAAAGTCAATAAAGCCCAAAGTTTTCACACCAATTTTTTCTCCCCAAATTCGAGGAAGTATCTGCGTACAAGAAAGGTGATGGCTTCATAAAAATGGAAAGAATGAAAAGACAAATGCGCTAGTTCATGATCCATAATAGAATACACCTTGATCCTCAGTATTAATATTTCAAATTGGGGGTAGCCCAGTCGGGTAGCCCACTGGGCCACGGGGAGAAAGATAATATCATGTATTTTTTGAGTCAAGATAATACTATGATTTATGATTATTATCCTTTTGGTCATTTAAATATGAAAGGTACTATATCTGTAATTTACATTATCTGTTCTATACAAAAGACTAAAATTATAGTCATTTTTGAAGATAAGAAGTATATGTACAGGTAGCCAAATTGAAGGTATTTATGAAAGTTGATATGCTTATCAAGTGGGGGTGTGATACTGAGGGGACCCATAAATCAAAGGCAATATTACGCTGACGATATTCATTCATTCCTTCGTTACTAGAAGAGTTATAACCATTTTATCACCTTTAAATTATTTTGGGGTTAAAATAAGATGTGGTTGGTCCTTAACAAACAATTGCCGCGTCGTATAGGGATCGGAATAAAGCAATAACATTATGTTTAACTAATAATTTTTAAAATTTAAATAATCGTGAAAAAATATTAAATTTTGGCAATAGCTAGATGGCATATTCGTAACTAAAATTAACTAAAAATGGTTTAGAAAAATTAGAAGCACCGTCGGTAAAGTAACTTTATGGCGAGAAAGTTATAATTCACATTTTGTGGTTATTGTTTTCGTTTTTAGGCATGGATGATGCAAATCTTGTTCTTGAAAACATTAGTCATATAAATAGATATATTGATCTTATATTGATCTGTTATGTTGATAGTGGAGTAGAATTTGAATATTGGCCCGAAAAAAACAAAGAAGATAAAGAACGCTCACCGGTTCGAGAGAACAAGTAAAAACACAAACCAACAGCAATCAGTAACTGTATTAGTTATTTAGTTAATAACGGTAAACTCGATAGTCGAAACGGGGATTGCCAAACGCTAAAATGAAAACTCACGCAAACGATACAAAAATGCTAAATCATAAGTCAAACAAGCCTTTCCTACCATACATGTGTCTACATTAAAGCGAGTAGTTTGACAATCTCGCGTGTGATTTAAGCAAAGCATTTCGCGTTTGAGGCGGTGGCCTCCCTGATATTTTTGAAAAGTTGAAATAAAAATAAAATAAAAGACCACTAAAATTTCATACAATAATATATCGAGACAAGATCGATTACCGATGAGATTTCTCACGGGAGCAAGGGGACCGCTAACGTGGGTGATAACAAATTGAAATAATTATGTTAGATTTTTTTTTTTTGATAAATATAATTATGTTAGAATATATAAATCTATATTTTATCTTTATTTTTTGTTCAAAACTTGAATATATATATATATATGTATAGAATATATAAATCTATATGTTATATTTATTATTTGTTCAAAACTTGAATATATCAGTTTCTAAAACCAGAGTATATTTTTGCTACAATTGTAGTGGTGGGACAAAAGCTTGGTTTGGAAATGTAAAGATAGAGGGAACTATGTTTCGTAATTGGATATTTATTAATTATTCTTTTGATTTTTGCTGAATTATTTCACAAGACTGATAGTTTTAAATATTTTGCCGTATGCACATGCAGATGATATTTTTATGATCGTTTGCCAAAAAATGCGGTCGTTTATCATTATGACTAATATTTTAAGATGGAGTTGAGGAACGACACGTACTTATTAACAGATCTAATCCGACTTTTGATTCGGAACCGGTAGAGATACTTTAAAAATGATATATATATATTTTTTTTTTTTGGCGAGACTTAGTTGAAAAAAATATGAGAAATATTTTAGGATATATCTAAAAAATTTGTATCACAAATATAGATTTTAAAAATAAAAATAACAAAATAGATTTAAATGTTTTAATTAATTAAATATACACTTATATCATTAGTGGTAGTTAATCTTAAACCTTTTTGTTTAGAGTTAATGAATGAGTTTTTGCCTTTTTGGAGATAAAATTTCAAATTAAAAAAAACTTAAAATTTCAAAATAAAAAATGTTATTTTGGTCATTTTATTTTTTAATGTCTATTTTATGATAAAAACTTAAAAATATCTATTCTTAGTTTTGTTTTCGTAGTATAGTTTGGATCTTGTGTTTAATTAGTTTTTGTTTTGGTTGTAGATATGAGTTGGCAAGTCTTAGGTTATTAGACTATGATTAACCCCTCAGGTTCTTAAGCCAGGATTCTTAGTGGAAGTTAAGAAACTGTTTCTTAAGTTCCGTCAAGAACTCCGTTTTAAGAATCCAGAATTAATCATGCTCTTATTTTCACAAATTCTTGTTGTAGTTCTTTAGGGAGTTAGATGGTTGTTCGCAAAATTGGTTTGAGCAGAAATCTTTCATGGTTTTATTCCTTAGTCTTCAACCAGTGCATCGAGAAAGTGATATTTTGATTCACAAAAATGGAGCAGGTTGTGGAGTGACTAGTTTTGGTGTGGGTCTACACTGTTCGAATGATTTGGTTTATCTAGATAGAAAAGATTTTCCAATTGCCAACAATAGTTGATCTTTCTGCTTTCACATGTTGTATGTTCTTTGTGACGTCTCCTATGTGATTTCTTTTCATGTGGTGGTGATTGAAGTGTTCTCTCATAAGTCTGGTTGTTAGTGATTGTATATGTTATGGATTTCGATCTTTAAGGTTTGATTGTACGAAGGTTTATGGTGAATTTCTATTTAGATGTAAAAGAGATGTCAAAAAAATATGTTCAAATTATATCTAAAAGTCGTGTGAATTGTGAAGTATCTTTTTATCTGGGTTATGGAATCTAGACTTTTGGTTACGAGTGTAGATGATATCATTTAACAGACCATATATTTATTTAAATTGCTTTTGCAGTCTGGAATTGGGAAAATAAAAATTGACTTGAGTTAAAAAATTTGAGTTTGATTTGTCAGTTTTTCCTGAGACCTGTTTGTGGTTAACAAGAATCTGCTAATTCTTAAGGATTTTTATCATCTCATTTGTAACACATTTAGTTTATGTTAATAGATGTTTCCAAATAAATGAGTCCGTTGTGAATATCATTATCGGAACAACGTTTTTTTTTTGTCAACAGTGGAACAACGTTACCATCGGCCAAAATCAAACTTAATAAAATAGATGATCGACAAGAAAAAAATCCATCTTAATTAGCAAGTTGCAACCATTCAAAACCTAAAACAACCGGAATGAACAAATCCTAAACCGTACTGTACCTCACTAATATAGTCCAATAATTCTGGACTAAAATCCATATAGATATATCACATAATATATTATTTATATTTTAAACTCAAACCACATCCAAAATTTATATAAAAAACATATATGAAAATAATTTATTTATTATGTCCAGCACAGACCTAGGAGGCTTCTTGCGGCCGGAGACCTAATCGCCTTTTTCTTGGGTTGATATATAAAAAATAAATAAAATAATATCAATTGAGAAAAAATAAAAATTGTTTAGAAATAGGTATCATAAGGGATGCATGGCCCTATAAAAAGAACAAGGGACAACTCCATGCCCCGTCTCTTTTCTCTCGCCTAACAACACTTACCCACACGCCTTTCATCTTCTTCTATCTCTACCCTCTTTCTCACTTATATTTTTCTTCTTCTAATCGCCATAGCTCTTACTTTGCAATAGAAGCTGTACAGTTAAACTCAAAGGTAACGTTTCTCTATCTGTTCACTATTTTTCCATAGGTTTTGCTTAGATCTTTGATTCTAGTTTCGAATTTGGTCTCGTCCTCTAGAGAATCGTATTCTCATTCATTTGGTTGGTTGTACGTGATTGAGGCTAATTTGAATTATGTGAAACAGGTTTCATTAATTTTCTTGTTTGTTCGAAAGAGAAAGAAAAGATGAATCACTGGGCGGTCCAGCAGCCAAACGTTTTCGCTGATCAGAGTGTTGTTATTTGCCCTAAACCACGTCGTTTTGCTCTCTCTAACCCTGTCGTCTACGAACAACTCCACCACCACCATCCCGCTCGCTCTCTCCGTTGTTACTTCAGGTTTAAAACATCTCTTTCTCATCATTCTCACATGTTGATGATTCGTTTTTTTTTAAAAGTTAATATTGATTACGTATTGTTTGCAGCCATCAACAAGTGGAGGTATGTGAATCCGAGGCAGAGACTGATATCTTAGATATCATACTCTCAAAGGTAGTATAATTTATCTTAATTATCTGTTAATTTTTTTTTTTTTTTTGTGTTCATGGTTGGTGAAATTTGTTTATCAAAACTGGTATACGTCTTGGTAGATCTCTCAATCAATAAACCAAATAAATCAGTAGAAAGTCGGTTTCTCCGTATTATTTATTATTTTCATATTTTAAAGTGAACTTAAGAAAGAATACAAAATAGAGCGTATAATCGTGTACGATTACTGATTATTAAAATCATGTGAACTTTCTTGTGTTTGAGACATGTCGGAAAAACCTTTATTAAAATAACAGGAAATTTTTAATTTCAAATTAAGACGTCTCGTGTTAAATCCTTACAGCAAATAAGTGGGCCTGTTTCTGACCTTTTTTAAATTAAAACCATGTAGCCACATGAATTTGTGAATCAATCAATCACTCACTCACGCGTCATCATATCTGTAAAATATTTTTTGTATTTTATTAAATATATTCGAATCAGTTCCTGATGATGTTGTGGTGGTGATCACAGGATGCATATGATCAGGCTAAGGTATTAGACTCGCCGTCCCCGTTTTTATGTGGGTCGCCGCCGAGCAGAGTCGCTAACCCTTTAACACAGGATGCTCGTTTCAGAGATGAACTCTCACTGGTCTCTTCACATATCCCTACTCCGCTGGGCCAGCCTCAGTCCTCTTCAGGGAGGAAAGGAGGGTGTGTTAGAGGCAGTTTTGGTAACAGCCCAGCGGTTAGGGTCGAAGGGTTTGATTGTCTCGACAGGGACAGTAGAAATTGCAGCATCCCTGCCTTGGCATGAGAGCCCAACCTCAAAAACGACCAACCACATACTCTGTTTAATTAGCTCACAAAAAAAGACAATTAGTGCGTCGTACATAATGAGTTAAGGATATGGGGAATTTGTTGAAAATCTTTGAGGGAAGTTGAGAGAGCGCGATAGATCGATCCTTTTGGTGTTTTTAAGAGTGTAAATAGGTGCAATTTTTTGGGTTAAGTTTGTAGGCAGGGTCATTCTGTAAAAAGAGTGTTTAGGCAGAAGTTATGAGAGGAGAGAATAAAAGGATTATTAGGTTTTGGAGAAATATAATATCTGAAAGGTCAGGTTCTTGTGTAAATAGAGAGAAATAGAAATGAAGTTTTAAATTTATTTTTTCTTTTGGTTCTGAGTCTGTTTATGAAGAATATGAGAAAAAAAAATTTGTACAAAAGGAAAGAAAGTCAAATGGTAATAGTATTTTGCTTTGAAATAAAATTTTATTACTTTTTTGTTGTCACAGCAAATTTTATTACTTCTAAACAAAATGTTGTGGTTGAGATGAGAAAAAAGGAAGAGATGATATGTAATGAGTATGAGTGAAAAAAGCTGTGAACTGTGAGGTGCCAGGCTAATTTTGAAAATATCTACTCTTTAAAAAGTAACAAAAAACAGTAAATTATCATTACTTTTATTATCTCTGAAAGAGGAGTTTTTTTTGTCACTAAATTACAATTATCATTACTTTTAATATCTCTGAAAGAGGAGTCTTCTTATTGATATTGTAAGGTTGACAAACTTGTGTAAAACTTAAAATCATGATCCAATTGTTTAATCTGTACCCAATAGTATGACTCCAAGGTGTTAAAAGTAAAAATGCGAATTCGATATAAGATAAAGGGTCTTTTAAAATGAAAATATATACTTTTTTTTTGTCAATGAAAATATATACTAAAATAGGGAAAAAGGAGAGGCAGAAACAAGAAACGAACATGCGGTCTCAGCATCTTCTGCGCTTTTGGTTACAAGAATATGTCAGATCTGTGAAAGCCTGACCCTCTGTTACTGCTGACCCACATCTTTTTGTTTCCTCTTTTTCTATTTTTAATTATTTTTTCTGTAAATCCTTTTTTTTGTTTTAAAATAAGAAAAGTGAACATCAAGTGGGTCACAAGAACAAAAAAAAAGAGAGAGAAACAGTTTTGGGTTTATTTTCCAAATAACCAAATAAAGGATAATTAAAATTTTAATCATAGATTAAAGAAAGATAATAATAGAAAGAAAAAGAGAGATGTTTGTAGTTAAATAGATAATTTCTGTTTTCTGTATATATATAGAATGTAATCTCCCAACAATTTTACATATGTTTTTTTCTTTCGAATAAGATAGACAATAATTTTGTTCGGTGGTAAACTTAACATATTTATTTCATATTATACGATATGATACATGTATATTGGTGATCATTGCCAATTTAGTTGGGGATAAAAGGTAAGACTGTTCTGACTTTTAAATAGCCTTATAAATTTAGAAACTAAGATATTTTACAAAAAATATATAATAAATTACTTTTTATATTTTGCACGAAAAATTACATTCCTTAAACATAATTTTTTAACCAATTTAATATATATATATATATATAATTTTCTTTTTGTTGGTAACTATTTGATAATCTTATATTTTCAAGAAAAAAACTCATGTAAAAGTTGTGAGAACTCAGAACTGTGAACATTAGTGTAGTCATTATTTCTTTTATAGGTTTCTACTTAAAGTTACAAAAAAAAAAGTTTCTACTTACAGATCGAGTTCGAGTGTCAGTTTATTGTATAATGGGTTCTAGGTTGTATGGGCCGTTCAGATATGGTTCTAAATCATTTCAGATACATCGTAGATTTATGTGACAGCCCATTTAAGTTTAGTACCGTTATAGGCTATGAAATGCGTGTTGATGTTCTCAAATGGATTCAGATTAATGTATAAAGGTTGGAAAACGAAGTTTATGTTTTTTAAAACATAAATGTGAGGCTTAGAACATGTTTAGGACTCAGACATGTGCTGGTGGGTAACTGTGAGTGAATTGGAGCATGAATAACGTTAGCTAGTGGATATTTCAGATTTGTATCAACTAAGCCAATATATAAACAATGGATTTGCGGTAAGAGACAGAAAAGTATGAAAAAATTAGTGATTTCCTTTTCTTTTTTTTTTTTTAATATCAAGAGATTCGGAACCAAAACTCGTTTTAGGTCTAAAACTGTAACATATAATATTAGTTTGGCTACAACATATAAAATTAATGATTATCACACAATATCAAGCAGAAAAGTTAAAGGTATTCAGGACAATGCCGTTCTTTACACAAGTTTTGTTACATATATTACAGTTGTTGCGGTGAAATTCTTTTACGCGCACGCGGTGCACGAAAATGGTATTTAATTTGCTTAAAAGTATGGATAATGTTGAATATGATAAACTTGTAGACCGAATGGCGATAAAAAATAAGTTGGCAACCGTGATCCACTTTCAGTTTCTTAACATCTATACTAGTTGTTTTAAAAGTAGTTCAATTTCCTTTAATTTCCCAAACAATTACGGAAAATAGCAAATGCAAAGCCACATAAGCAGAAAACACAGATGGTATTGTACCAAAAGAAAGTCTCACACCGAGCCACCAAAGACGGCCTTGTATGACACGGAGTAAGTCGAAAAACTCCAAAACCTCAAAGTATAATGAGATGAAGTAAAGTTTACTATCCACTGTCCATTGATTAAACATAGCTTTAGTTTTTCCCATTGGGGTTAGGAATGATTTGACTAAACAAACCGAGAATCTTGAAAATAAATGGATGAGAATGCATAATTTTTCGTTCATATTTTTTGGATCTTAAATCTTAATATTTTCTGTATATTAAAATCAACTTCATTTTTGGGTTTCTGTTAAAAGGAACAAAACTAGTTAGTAAAAAGAGTATGTACAAGGTGTGCATCAACAGTATTTTTTCTGTAATTTTAAAACCAGAACTTGTTTATCAAACAGCTTAAATTTATCATGTATAGCTTAAGAAAAAAGGAAAATAATATAACACAATTAAATAACGTAATACAAAAAAAATCAGACTGAAATCAGAAAATACTTAGTGACCCAACAATCAGACTCAGATAAATATTATTGCAAGACTCTAGTCTTAACTCTTTTTTGGTAAAACAACTGAAAAAGAGAAGTGAGAAATAAATTTTCAACTGGCGCACCACCAGTTGATCCAATGAAATATAATTTAAGACTCTAGATTGTAAATTGTCAGCTTCATGCACCACTTGTGGATTTTTCTAAAATTTGTTTGAAACGTTTAATTTAAATAACCTAGTAACTGAAAGAAACTTCAAAATAGTCCAACCCAATACTTTGCTGAAGATGCCTAATTTTTGTATAATTGATTAGTTGAACTGACCTTTTTGCAAAACGAGACGTGGCATGGTGATAATGACGCAAGGAAAGGTCCACTTGCTACTTGTCCCTTTTGTCCACAACTCAACTTGGCTCTTTGGCACCTTTCCTAATTCTAAATACAAATCTTTTGTCTTTTTGTTTAACATTATCAGTTTCCTTTTAGAAGTTTATTTATTTCTTAATCCATTTTGGGTAGTTACAATCCACTAGAAAGCCACAACTTCGTTGACAAAAAAAAGCCACAACTTCCTTTTCCGCATGATATACGAAATACACACAAATTTCTCATGCTTCGTTTTTCTATTGACACATACAAGACTAATAAAAATTCTAATGTTTAGGGAAATTAAACTCAGTAATTACAACACTTTTTTTTTGTTGTCGTCAAGTTTTCATATTAAAGCTTAGAATCCTGCAAAAAAAAATTCCAAAATATTACATAATTCGAGTTATAGGGCTCCATTGTTTAATTATATATTTTATTTTAGAATTTCAGCTGTAATTATACAACTTTATCTTTAGATTTTACTGTTGTAGAATTATTTAAAATTTTTAATAAACTAAATATAAAATTGTAGAAAATTTAATATCTAGGGCAAGTATACTTTTTTAAAGATTTTGGATTGTACCTTTAAATTTTCTTATTAAAACTTAAGCACTTTAATTTATTGATGAAGAAAGAAATAATGTTATGTATAGCACTCACACCCATCAACAACCACCCCCTTAACCCTACCTTCCAATAACTCAACATTTCTTTTTAATAACTACAATAGTTAACCAAAGACATCTTCAACAATTCAACCATAACATCAAATTTAGTATATTGTCATCAAATTGTTTTTGTTATCTCCAACATGACATCAAATATTACACCAAAATAATATTATATTATTTGATATTTTCATTATATTATATTTCTTATTTATATTTGATAAATAATTATTTTATCATATTTAGATATTATGTTTGTTAAATTTTGTAATTTTCTATTTACAAAATTTACTTGCATTTATATTTTGGGTAACAACATTATACTTTTTATATACTTATCTTATATAAAATATAAATTATATGCAAAATTACAAAACTATTAATTATGAAAACACATAACAAAATAATATATTAATTTTTAATAAATTGTATTAGTTGATAATACAAGTTGAAATATATTATAAAATATAAAAATAAAAATATTATTTAATGTTTGGTGAATTTAAATATATTACATAAATTTTTAATTATTTAATATTTAATTTAATTTTGAAAAATGTAAAATTATTAATTGCTCATTATTGATTAAACGATCTATAATATTTTACTTAAAAATATAAAGTAAATAAAATAGCCATTTAGTGATTTTTAACTTGAAAATAAAATTAAAATATTATAATTATTTAAAATATAAATAATACATTATATTTATGTTTACTTACAAATTCGACTAATGAATAATAATAATTTAAATATATTATTACGGGAAACATAATAAAATATTATATTAAATATTTGGTGTAATGAGTAGTGTTACACTAAATTTGGTATAATACTATTCCCTCTGTTTCATTATAAGTGTTACTCTATAGCTGTGCACACGGATTAAAAAAATAACTAATTTTACATATTTCCTATATAAAAACACAGTTACCTATACACCTAACCATATTTTAATCAATAAAAAAACTAATTACATAATAAAATTAATAAATTTTGCTTTGAAAACCGAAAACGACACTTATTTTGTAACGCAAAAAACTCTCTACAACGACATTTAATATGAAACGGAGAGAGTATTTATTATACACAAAATTTGATAAAATGATATCACTTTTGATATTTTTATTGGAGATCAAATTATTCCAAATTTAATATTTTGATTTTTCCTATTTGAGTTTAACTTAACACGATTAACACAAAAACTAGTTAGAATATTCTAAATTAAAATTTAATAAAAAAATCTAAATTAATCGCCACTTTCCCATGTAGCACACACCCACGACATGTGCTGTGTTTCTTTTTTTCAAATAACTTTATTACTCCCTCTGTTTGTAAATAAGTGTCACTTTAGCCTTTTAATTTTGTTTCACAAAAGTGTCATTCTACAATCACAATGTAATTTTGTACATTAAATCTATTTTTTACCCTTTTGAATAACTAATAGTATTTTACTTATATTATTTTCATTTAATTAAACATACATTAAATAGGGATATATTAGTCTATTATACAATTTTTTTAATTTATGTGCAAATAGTCAAAATGACACTTATTTAAAAACAGAGGGAGTACTAAATAATTTATCATCTTTTCTCCTACCATTCACTTTATTCTTTAAAATTCTTAACAAATACTCAAGCTCATAATTTTTTTTATATGACATATTTAAATTTTTGTAATGTGTATATGAATATACATCAAATAACTCTAAATTATATATATATATATCCAACGTTGTAAAATTTTGAACTAATATTTGTGTCTGGATAGTGTCTAATTTTTCATTATTCAACATCCATGTCTAATTTAATTTGGGTAACGGGTATTTAAAAAAATTTGTTTACTGAAGTTAGGTTTTTATACTGAACGATAAAATACTAAGAAAATGGCAATTTTAGGACATGTATATTAGTTTGTATACTTGGAAAAGGTAATCGACCAAAATAATGAAAATAAAATAAAGGTTGTTCTTTGACCAAAAAAGAAAAAGGTTGTTCAGTGCCGGTTTTACAGATCCCGATCACGTGACTTGGGAATACATTCTAGAAGTGGGGGACATCATACTTGGACAAGATAATACTTCATACTTAACATGATGCACTACATGTCTTGAGTTTGTTTTTTTTCTTTGTGTGTGCTAATACTGTTTGCCGACTAGAATTTAGCTTAAAAGCAATTAATTGTGCAACTACGAGAAGAGATGGCGTGAGAAGTAGGCAACATTGTCATAACGTGGCTGAATTTCAACCGAACAGAAAACGCCGTCGACACTGATTGCATCCGAAAACAATCATATCGCATTCTTTGTTTCTCAGAACTGGTGCAGTGATGTGTTATCTAGGCACTATATGTAATGAATTTACGTTATAAAATAAAGAATTAAAATCCACAAGGTTAACATAAACCGTCAATTTGTTTTTTATCGGCCAACCAGATTTCACAGATGAGTGTAATTTTTATTAGCCTTTTGAAACTATACAAATGAATAAGGTTATAAGAAAATCTAAAAATACAAATACTCATCATAATTTAAATATCGTAATATATAATAGTAAATAACAGCAAAATTTAAATACAATTTTTATATTAATTCACTTTTCTTGATAAAATTGAAAAAAAAATTGATGCGAACGCATGGATCCGAATCTAATTATCTATTATGAAAAGAAAATACATCATGTCGAACTAATGGATTTTTCTTAACAAAGATCCGTTGATGATATGGATCAAAATTTTGATGGTTACACTTACCACAAAGGTGGCAAAAGTAAATTTCCAAGACTATTTTTCTGAAAGTTCATATCAAAAAAATGATCATACTTTCTTATCTTGATAACATTTTACTTTATTTCTTCATCATATTTTAGTAGGAATAAATTTTGGGATGAAATTTACACGTGAACATTTATATTTGATTTTGAACAGTAAAAAGTTCAGTTGTCAAAAGAAAAAAAACAGTAAAAAGTAATAAACGACTATGGTTCCTAGCTTATTATTTTTGTTCATTTGCTTTAATTTCGACATTTAATTCAATGATCTTAACAAAGTTAAATGAATTCAAAATTCCAAGTTTAAAACAGTACACCGTTTATTTTTCCTACAAATTAAGAATTATTTATTTTACTATATTCGTTGCATTTGTACTTTTTGAAATAATCGGTATACTACTACTAACCATTTCCAGTTGATGCATGTAATTTGATAAAAGGAACTAAAGCGATTTGACTGATTCAGATTATTTTTTGTAACTGTTTTACATTTTTCAAATATATAACATTTGACATCTTTAGATATTCTAGTTTAAATTTCAAACTTTAAACTCCGCAAATTAAATTTGGCGGGCGGAGGAAAAATACAAAAGAGTAGGGAAAAATGAGCAGACATATGTGTGAGTGTGACGTTAGGCAACTGAGTTACATGAAAAAACAATGTCGGCAAAACAATTCAAAAAACAACTCGTCACGTCTCTCTCTATCTCCAACTCCCATATGCCTCCTTGCACTAACCACTTCCTCTGCTTCTATCTCCTTATAAATACCCTCCTGACTTCACATCTAACAAGATCACCACTAACATTTTCTTATATGAAGAGACAGAGAGAGAGGAGATGAATAAAGAAGAGATTGACTCATCCTTGGCTACTGCAGCCATGGCGGTTGCAGTTGCTGCGGCGGTGGCGGAGGAGGAGAAATTGTGGTGCGAAGGTGTGGTGGAGGAGATGACGTGGAGCACCGTGTGGTTGCCATTTTGGGACGTTGAGTTTGTTGGAAGAAACTACAATTTGTTGTTCAGTGATGTTGCTTGGGACGATGATATTTGGAACCTCAAAAATCTAACTCATTCCTCATAATCATTTTCTCTAAGGAAAATAGTATGTAAATGTATGTTTTTTTATAGTTTCTTCTATATAATTTATAATTTTCCTTAATTTTTGTTCAATTTTTTTTCTTAATTATTTTCTTCGATGTTGTTGGTTTGAAAGTAATTATCTCTAGAATTAAAAATTAGTCCGTATTAAAACTGTGTTAATACCTTAATAATGGTGACTGTTAATTAAATTCTTTATTGCACACTCCCTCTGTTTAATTATAAGTCGTTTAAAAAAAAAATATTTATTATAAAATAAATGATGATCTGTAGAAATTAAATGTCATTTGAAACTTATATAAAATATTATATATTTTTAAGATAGTTGAACTTGTTTTATTTAACTGTATCTTATGTAACTGAGACAAATTATATAAAATTTATTTTCTTAATTATTATGTAAAAATCTTAACCACCACTTATATAGTAATAAACAAAATATATATTTACATGCCGTCTATAGACAGGTGAAAATATTTTTTGCCGTTTGACAATAACTACAAAATGTTGTCAAACTCCTTATATCATTCTAAATTTCTCAAAGTCAAAATATAATTTACTCAATGTGTTTGCAATTGCCAAAGGATAAAAATAATAACGAGAAAATTCATTTAAAATCAAAATTTACATAACACATTGAAAATCAGAGTTTTGATGTTACGATAACAAATAGTATATGAACTTTAACATCATGGTCATGGGTTCAAAGCCCCACGATGGGTGATTATTTTTCTTTCTCAAAAAAAAAACTTTAAACCAAAATAATCTCTATATTTTTACTCAGCTTCTAATATATATAAATACATATATATTAATCTAATAAAAAATGTTAAAATTGATTATTATTCTCTATAAAAATCATTACAATTATAACTTCTATCTAAATCTACAATTTCAAAAATAAATGTAATATTATTAAGTATATTAAACTACTCAGGTTCATATTTTCTTATAGTAATATGATTTAGATATTTTTACAAATATATAATGTGTTAATAATATTAATTTATTATTAAATCGCTTATATCTACTAGTCAGCCAATATTAAATATTTCACACACATATCCATCTTTATGCTGAAAGTCATACAAATCAATTACTATAAAACTGCAATCATGGCATCTTCGTACTCGGCTACTCGTACAGCCGCAACCGCTACATTTTAATTAGTCATGTCTTTAATGTAAATTTTATGAAAATGTTAAAAAAGAGAGATTTTGGAGCCTAATGCACAAAATCAAAATTGAACTTTGTGCATTGCTACTCCGGCGCACCTTTAATTGCGACCATCACGTGATTGCATTGATTCAATTAATTGGTTACCTCTGAAACTATATGGTTACAAAATAATATGGAAATGATTTTACATTTTAGTATCGACATACAACTAGTGCCTAGTGGGAGTATAATTTTATAATAGGAATCTAGAATTGACCTGCATGCGATGGACTTTTCCACGGTTAGTGTTCGGGGAAAGCGGTGGGATACTTTACAACGGTCATGGAGCGACCTTGTTGGCCTAAGCTGGAGCCTGGTTCACGCCGGGAATGTTGTTGCCGATTAAAATCAGCCTTCAGGCCAAGCAAAAGAAATTCATGCTTCTAGTTAATAATTTTTTAATTATATTTGCTAGTATTGGTAATGAAAATTTCTGGATTCTAGACCCTTGTAGATCTGGAAGCTGAATTTGGAATTCTTTGTGCAAGCTTAGACATCTCGTCCTTTTGTGGTTTGCGAATTGGGTTCCAAGATCTCTACAAGCTTTTGGTTCGATAATTGAACTTTATTGGGACCACTAATCAATCTGACTGGAGAGTTAGGTCCAAAAACAACCTGGTTATTAGAATCGACAGTGGTCTGAGATGCTATTGTTGACAACCATTGGTGGCTGGATTCATCACGGTCTAGGAATCCAATCATCGGTTTTCTCAAGGACAATTTGCCTAGTACCTCAGAGATAGTTACATCGGAGAGTGATGATTTATGCTTGTGGAAAGTGGGGGGATAACGCTCCGGTTTTAACTGTTTCTCATCTTCATTCATGTGGAATCACCTAAAAAACCAACTTCCTGAAGTATCTTGGTATAAGTCAGTGTGGTTCAAGAGTAAGATTCCTAAACATGCCTTCATTACATGGCTGGCTGCTCATGACAGGTTATCAACTCGAGATAGGATGATGCATTGGGGTCTTGACGTCTCTCCAGCATGTATCTCTTCGGCACATTGGTTATCAACTCGAGATAACCTTCCAAGCTTCTATTTATTTGATATGGAGAGAAAGAAACTCTAGACTTCATTCTCAGGTATCTCGTCCAGCGACAGCACTGGTAGCGGAGATTCAAAGTATTTTGCGTGCGAAATTGGACTCTTTATTTAAGGAGCAGAGGAACCTCCCTTCTACTATATCCTTTTTGTCTATTTGGTTCCTTCGTTTCTAATTTGTATGGTGTGTTCTAACCATTTTTTGGATCCAGATCATATGTGATCTGTGTTCTTGCGCTGTAATCCTTCGGGATCTTTCAAATATATTTAAAAAAAACTGCCTAAGTCTAGTGATAAAGTTTTTGAAATAAATGCCAGTTTTGTATTTCCAAACCATGTTTAAATCCTAAGTGGTTTTAGAACACCTATGACCTATCTTGAAAATTTCTATGAAAATGTTTTATAAAAAGAATAGAAAATCGAAAAATGAGATTATTTTCTAATGAAAATTAAAAAATAATGAAAAACATCGAAAATTTTCAAATGAGTATGAAATAAAACTCATGAGTATTAAAGAAAAACATTTATATCCCATAGATTGAATATTATTTTTGAAAATTGTTGGTCTTGTTATGTTTTCTTCTTTTTTTTTTTTTTTTTTTTTTTTTTTTTTTTTTTTTTTTTTTTTTTTTTGTTATGTTTTCTTCTTTCATATTTGTTCTACAATTTCAATGGTTTGATGAGATGGATTATGCGTCGACGGCCACATAAATCATGATCAGAAACTTTTTTTAAGTGAAGAGCTTGGATAGGCGTTGACCCTTAATCGTAAAATTCTTGAACCATAGATTCTGCCACGTCGTACAGTCCCGTTATTTTATCAATCTCAGTTTGAGAAACGTTCTTTACACTTTAACTTCGTGTGTCGAGGTGAAACAAGAGCATACATTCTTCAATATTTTACTTGATCGAGAAAATAATTAAGCATAATAATTGAACTGTTTTCATAATTGGTTACTTCTCTTTCTTATTCGTTTCATTGCTATGTCATGAAAAGAATTTCTCTTTTGACGTAGAGAAGAATATTTTTTGGTTTTATATTCAAGAGAAGTTTCGAACTTTTCCGTTATAATAAGAGGGGATTCCTAAATTTATTACATATAACATATTATAGTTTCTCACGCATCGAATTATAAGGCCGACCATTCCAAAGACCATTGTTGTCTACTCATGATTTATTTGATATGGCTTCTTGTCCCCAAATATTATAACAGAAGACAAGTTGCAAATTCGCAACGGCAGCAATCAGAGATTCAAAATGCAAGGGCCAATTGTTCATATCATCAGATCCACTTGTAAGACACTAATCACTTGTTCAGAGTGAAGCTTGGCTATTGAAGAACCGAAAACCTTTTATACCAATATGGATCATAAAACTCAACCACCACTTCATCATCACTACCAAAAGTTGTTGATATAGTTTTGCAACATCTATTTTTTTTTTTCATTCCACATATATTTTGTAGAGTAATCCAACAAACTATAATGATGAATGTCCAATACAATGCAAGACTCGACTAAATTCTTTTCGAAGAAAATATTAATAGGTTTCTGTAACTGTTTCATTCCATAGGAGTATGTAACAAGTAACAACATACTAGTTTTTCCTTTTTTGCGGATTCTAAATAGGGTGGTCGGCTCATATCCAGTAGACGTTTTGGAGGTGATTGGTAAGAGCTGTGATTTCATTTTTTGGCTGTAGAAATATTGCTGTGATTTTTTTTGTTTTGGCTTTAGATTTTTAATTTTTAAAAGCCTTTAAATATGAGTTGTAGGTATTTGTCTCTGCAGAGCAATTACAAAGACATGAACTTAAAGAAGTGCTGTAGAATTAAAAAAATGGATGTGAGCTTTAGAAAAAATAAAAATCATGATTGGTGTAGATATAGGGCTGTAAGTATAACTAGAATTTGACCCGCACCCCCGTGCGGGTGTTTGATTTAACTTGTGTTTAACTTAAATTCATAAACCATTGGTTTTTTACAATTTTTTTTAATGTTTTGTAATTTACATATAAAGTAAAATATATTATTTTATAATATAAATATTTAAGAATAATTTTTATTTGTACATAGTAGTACATTAGAAATTTTATAACTTGATGCAATTGATGTAATCGTACTATTCATATACTAACATGTTGTTTTTTTGTTAATTTATTTTAAAATAAAACAACATACTAAAAATTATTTTTTTGAATTAGTTTTCTATGAGTTATCATTAATTTTATGATATTTTTTTTTTTAAATTGAACTCACACAATTTTATATTTGACTAAATTAAATAAGGTAATATTATATTTAAAAATTATTTTATATAATGTATACTATATATTTCGGTTTGTGTTTTTATTTTCATTATAGAGAAAGAAAAATCATTGAAATTAATTAACTTAAACTGATTTTAAATGCAATGACATAATCTGTAAATAAAAAGAAATACAAAAGGAAAGTATTTAATTTATTGTAAATATAATGGCTAAATGTACAAATAAAAGAAAATACTTAATCTACTATCCATGTTTCCAAACAATGTTTTATTTATTTTGCTATCCTTATTTCCAAACAGTACCAAATGGTACTTCAGTTTTAATAATATAGATATAATGGCTAAATGTACAAATAAAAGAAAATACTTAATCTACTATCCATGTTTCCAAACAATGTTTTATTTATTTTGCTATCCTTATTTCCAAACAGTACCAAATGGTACTTCAGTTTTAATAATATAGATTATTGCTGTGGAGAGCATGTACAGCAATAGCCAATCACACTCTTTATTCCAATTTTAAAATGGCTCATTTTATCTTTATAAAAAAAATGAAGAAAATCTAAACCTAAAAAGACCATAAAATTTTTTGGGCCCGAAATAGTGGCCTACTTTTTAGGTGCTCTAGGCTGGGTTTACTTCTAAGAACAGACTATAACTTTTGAAG